TTTGTAGAAACGTAATAATTTATTATTAACTAGATTCTAATAATAAATTATATTTAATAATTCAAGTTTTGGTTTCTGTGAATATAATTTCATTAATTAATATAGACATTACATTATTTTACATTTATATTAATATTAACAAACGCATATGTACGTCCATAGCACTCTAAAGGATTAAAAACGTACACGTGGTTAAACTCGGGGAATATCCAGTTTTTTCATATCAAACAATTGGTCATYCTTTATTTTTACCATTATTTAAATATTTTTTAGTATCARAATCAATTTAATTACCCATTTGAATAAACATAATATAAAATAAATTTATTTAAAAATGATGTGTCTATTACTATACTTTGCATATTAAARAATTTCAATCTRATATTTAATKAAATGAACATTTTCAACTCAACATCAACACTAACCAGGAACGTAAAAACAAATGTATTTTTATTTAAACAATCCAAATTATTATTAAAATATGTTAGAATATGTGATATACCTTTAATGATTGATAATTAATTGAAAGAAATGTATATTATAATCTAAAAGTAGAGACAATGAGTTCGATGTACTGTCCTCTTCGTAATCCTATATTAAACTCTTTCTTCACCCTCTATGAAAGTCAGGTAATATTCTTTTATTTACTATTGTTTATATGACTTTCCTTATATGGCACATGCAAGTAACAGAAGTAATATTCATAATAAATATAATGTATTCTTTTGAAAGTTTTATAAACAAAAATGAATAAAAGGATTTCTACTGACTTTCATAAAAGACGATGAATCGGAGTTTACGATAGATTTTGAAGAGGATGGTACATCGAATTTACATTTTGTGGTTTTAAACAATAATATACATTTCGTTAGATTATTTAATAATTATTTGCAGTATATCGAATACTCTCAAGGTAATGTCACAACCCTATTTTCTTTTTATAGACAAACGTATATATATACACCATATTAACACAAGAATATTCTATAATTATATTTTTATAAATTAAAAAAAATAATAGAGATATAGTGAAACATAGTTTATTTATTTATTTCCTAAAAAGAAAAAAGAAAAAAATATAAATTCTTTGAAAGGTAATAGTACTACGATCTATAAACTTAGAATGTACTTTAAGTTACCTACTCCCTTTAGAAACGTGCAACGTATTTCCGGAGCAACGAACGAGAACGAGGACAACATGTGGCAGAAACTAAGTCGATATTACGATATTATTAGGGTTGGTGCAAAAATAATTATAGCATTTAATAATATTTTCAATTTGTTAATGGGTTATTTTGAATGTTTCTCTTCTTATTTTTATACTTTATTATGATACATAATTATATTTGTATATCGAAAGATTATACACTCAAATATCTTCATTATTTCTTGACACTTTCGTTACAGACGTGTTTTTAGTATCCTCTTACTGAACGGGCTGCTGCAACGCGTTTTAGTAAAAATTGTACGAATTGAAAAACGGATCGTTAATAATTATTTATACAATAATCAATTAATATTTGCAATTGCAGTTATTCAAAAATTAAATAAACAATGGCATAAATAATAAATGCAATATTTCAATTCAAAATTTAAAACATAAAAATGGTTTTGGTTGGTATGTGTAGTATTATTAGTTATTGTTAAAATAACTCAAGAAATTGCAAAAAGAAATTCAATTTAATCTTTAAATAATAATAAAATAAAGAATAAAAAAAAAATAAAATAAAGACAAAATATTATTAATAATACAATAATAATAATATAGTTAATAAGTAATACCATCCCCTAAAAATACAGTAAAATTAAACGATTAATTGTAAGCAATTATTTTAAAAAAATAAAATAAACATAAAATATTAATAATAATAATATAATTAACAACGAGTAGGAATAAAATAAGAATTTAAAACAATACATAAAATAATCTAATATAAAAACAAAAAAAGAACTAGAACAATATTAGCCGAAAATACCACCCCCCACTCCTTAAAAAAAAAAATCGTAAACGAAGGAGAGGACCCAAATGGGTGTCCCGTCGCGATAGGGAGAAACGCGCGAATCTGAGGCTTTTTGCGAGCGAACAGCTGATCTCTTAACGGTCTTCGTATTACGGGGGTAGGTCAGTGCCCTTCGAGCGAGAGAGACATCCATGCGTAAGTATGCGAAAGAAAGAGAGAGACTATACGTAGAGAGTTAAGCCGTTCACCAAGAGACGACGAATAGGACGAGAAAAAGAGAAGGGGGAACAAAAAGAGAGAGGGAGAGGGAGAGGGAAGAGAACAGCACAGAGTCTGGGCTCCCGCCAGGGCAAAAGAGGGCACCAACCCAACCCGCTTACCAGTCAGCCAACCAACCAACCAACCAGCCAGTCAGCCACCCGACGAAAAGGCAGGTGAGCACCTGGTCTAAAAGTTCGGCACGAGCTACTACTTGCCTCTTGGTTAAGAAGGGGTGCTCAACGGTCCTCCTGTGACCACTCCAACATTCCGTCTCAAGATGCTGCCAATAACATACAACAGAACCTACCGCATTTTACTTTTCGTATCGATACGACTTCAAGGAGTTTCTAAGGCAAGCTGTTTTCATTTATATTACTTTCTTCCCAAATCCCCCAACCTTTTCATCTCCCACCTCACTCTACCATGTTATCTTTTTCTCACTCACTCTTCTATTGCCTTTTGTTAGCAACATATCTTTTTTTTTTTTAAATAATAGACTCCGTTTGTTGTTCGTTGAATTTATGATTTGACGGTTATTTAAAATTTATTTATTGATTTTTTTATAGGGGTTGTAACATCTAATTTTATATAATAGACTAGAACAATAGACTTCGTTTGTTATTCGTTGAATTTATGATTAGACATTTAGATTAATTTTTTTTTTTCGTTATGCGACGTTTAATTAAAAATTTTTTTCTATAGGGGTTGTAACATCTAATTCTTTCTTTTTTTTATTATTAAAATATATTTTTTTTAGTAAATTAAAGTTGAATTCTTTTTAGGTAAAAGTATTAAATAGAATGAGAACCGCGAGGTACTTAAAGACGATGGTCGAGAAGTTCAAAGACGAGGCAGACATCCCCGGACTTCTCAAGGACGGGGAAATCCCTCTCACCCCATACCATCCTGTTTCTTCCCTGATACACGCCTCTTCTCGTAGACCAGCCCTAAGAACTTAGTGTGTGTGTGTGTGTTTGCGTGTATGTGTTCGTTCTCCGACTATCTTTTTTAAACAAATTTGACTTCTTCTTGAAGTAAGCACGTTAGGTTAGTTTCATAACAACGGAATTTGCAATCGGACGATTTAACCCTTATATCATGAAATATTTATAAATTTAACTAATTTTGATAATTTTTTATATGATCAATAAATAAATTTTATATTTTTGGGATTAGAAATATTTAATTTTTAATTAAAATTAATTTAAATAGTTTAAATAAAATATTATTACTAAAGCTACCGTTCTTTAATACAAGTAAAATTACTTATAAAATATTAATATAATATTTATAAATAAAATTATAATTTATATATAATATATAATTTTTTTATAATATAATAATAATATATATTATTAGTATATATTAATAAATAATAATAATATATAATATAATTATATTATTAAAATTTGTAATTTGTAATATTAATAATTTATTACAAATACAATTAATATATTGTATATACAAAAATTAATATATATTAATATAATAATATATAATAATATATATCAATTTATATATAATTATAATTAATATATATTAATTTAATAATATATAGTAATATATACAATATATAATTTTAATTAATAATAATTATATATAATATAATTAAATATAATTATAAATAGAAGACTTTTAAAATAATAATTTTAAAAAAATAGAATTTTTATATAATTATATCATAATCGATCAAATTACCGATCTTTAATAAAAGTTTACAATAATATATAAAAAATTGTTAAAATAATAATTAAAAAATACGTGTTACTATAATTGTAAAATAAAATCAAATAAATAAAAAAGTTATAATATTAACTGCAAAAATGTAAATTTAAAATATAAAACTGGTTAGTTGATCGGTGATGATACATATGTATAATAAATGTAACTTTAACATTGGATTTCTAATTGACATTGCATTTACTTTTTATTATAAAAAAAAAAAAAAAACTAACTCGACTTTAATATTAAACTTACCGACAGTTTATTTATACCGTAACAACCGCGATCCACTTGACGATCTTTATTAAAAATTTCAATTTTTTGTAGATAATATTAAAAATATTTATAATTATAATTATTAAGTAAAATGAAATAATGAAAAATGATAAAATTGAGTAGAGAATTTTACTTCAAAATTTAAAACCGGTTAGTTAACCGGTTTGTGATACGTTTGAAATGTTAATCTAACTTTAATAATTGGACTTCTAATCTTAATGAAATATTCATAGTTTTCTAGGAACTAGTTCAGATTTAACACTAGAATTACCGACGATTTATATAATATTGCATTTATTTATTTATACCATAACCAATCATTTGGCCGACATTAAACAAAAAATTATATTTTCTTTTCCAATTCAATGCAAATTATAGGGTAATAACTTAGTACTCTTACTGGTTTGAATAATAAATAAAACAATATTTATGAGTATATAATAATTATCGGTATGGTCAATAATTTTGAAAATAAAACAATAAAATTAAATGCAAAATTTTAAGTCAACATTTAAAATCGATTTTGAATGATTGAAGAATTATTTAAAAAATAAAGATATTATTTCATTTAATTGGTGAATCAATAAATTAAACATTGAAATAAATAAACATGAAATTTAATTTTATATTTAAAAAAAGAAAATATATTAACAAAAAGCTAATATAGTAAATCATAAAACTAATGTAAATAAAATTGGATTTTTTGGGCATAGATAAATAAAAAAATATATTAAACAAACTTATAGATTAATAAATATTATTAATTAAATAAAGACTTACCTAAACACGGATCTAAATTGTTTGAATCATCCTCCGGAGACGAGATCGTAGATTTATTGAAATCACGAATAATGTTAGTTACCGGTGAAACTATTTCTAGTGATTTTAGTGATAAATCTTCATGTTTTTGAGATAAATTGTCCTCGTCTTCTGTGATTTTTCTTAACGGAACTACTTGACGCACGTATGACATTTTTGTTCACCTATATGTCGTCTCAGTATCTGTAAATAAATAAAAAAACAAATTTTTTATTCTACAAAATGTCGAACATAAAATGAAATAGAAAACGTTGATTTCATATTATCAATTATTTGAAATAATAATTATAAATTATTGATACGATAAGATGGGACAAATAAAACAAAAACAATGAAAATATTTTTATTTGAAACAAATTACAACGAAACTTTCTAATCTTTAATTAATAATTCGAAATTGAATAAACACATTTGAAGATTTTTATTTAAAAATAAAAGTAAATTTTATCTTTATCGAATATTTGGAATATTTTAATAGCTTTTATTTAATTATTTGTAATTAATTTTTATAATTATATTTTATTATATTTTTATATTTTATATTTATTATTATATTTTATATTTTATATTTATAATTATATTGTGTTATATTTTATGTTTTATTATTACATTTTTATAATTATTTGTAAATAATTTTTAAATTTTGACCAATTTTTCTTTTTGTTAGATTGTTCGAAAAGTTATATCGTTTTTTCAATTGTAAATAAAAAAAATTTTTTTTGCATTAAAAATCAAAGACGTTTTTATGATGACAAATTGTCAAGTTTTGATAAAATCAACTTCTCAGATATTTTTTTGAATGTTTATTTTGCAACAAACGCAGTGTATCTTTCAAATCAAAATTAACAGAACAAAATTTCGAAAATTCATGCACTGAATTTCCCTGGATTATTACTTTTACAGTAATAAAAAATAAAAAAAAATGACGAAAATGTTGATTTTGAATTTTCTATTTCTGATACGATACCAAAATAAAACTACTTAACAATTCGAAACACAAAAAGATTTTAAATCACGTCAGAAATGTCTCTTACTGGAATATAAAATGATTTTAAGGTTTACAGTAAGATTAAGTATCAATAAACGCAGCTAATGAAAACTTCTGTACAAAAAAAAAAAACAAAAAAACTTTTCGAACAACTTAATTTTTTCAAATAATTTGCCAGTATTTTAAATAGATAATCAATATTTAAATTAGGAGAAAGGTTATATCACAATTACGTGAACTGTAGATTAACACAAGATATATAATGTTATTTTATTATAAATATTAATTATTTATTTAAAATACTAACCAAAAATGTTAAAAAATACTAATCACATAAATAATATTCAATTTTATTTTTTAATACTGTTTTACAATAATTTATTAATAACTTATTTAATAATAGATAGTATAATAAATATTATTTCAATATTTTTGTTAATTTGTTAACCTAAAATCAAAATTATCATATAACTTTTGACATTTTTATAATTGAATGACTAAACAGGAAAAAAAGTACAAGTAACACATTAATGTTTAATTGGAGATAAATATATAAATAAATAATATCTAATTTGTAATTATTTACTTATATCAAATTAAAACTAAACCTATCACGTGCAGTTAAATAATTTTACGTTATATAATTTGTAAAAATTCTGTAATCTTGAAAAAATTTTGTACAAATGTATAAAATGTAATTTGCCTTAAAATAATCAAACTTAAATCTTGAATATCATTCAAATGGTGAGGTTTACGGAAAAAATATAAGATATCTTTTTCCCATTAAAATTAAGAGCTCATATTTGGTGAGAATTTTTTTAAGGTGTCTAGCAACCAATTTTTCCGTGGCACTTGTAAAAAAAAAATAATTAATTTTTTTGACCCACCCTAATATATATATCATCAATGTTTTAATTTAACAATTAATTTTAACGTTTAATAATTAAAACGATGAATTTTAATTTAAAAAAAGAAACTTTGATAAATCGATGTATAATTTTAGAGAATCAACAGTAAAATCTGGACAAAGAAGGCGTGGTATATATACAGTTGATAGAGAGAAATATCAGCTGATTAATCGAGAGACCAAACGTTGCCTGAGATATGCAGTTCAATGCCAACTGTGACGGTTGACTGTTCACACACTCTCGTAAGTATTTATTTCTGAACGAACTTTCCAAGCGCGATAAATGTATATAAGTATGTATTATATATGCATATGTACTCATTTATATATGGTACATATATGTATGTACGATATTTTATACAATCAATATTTTCATATGAATGATATTTTCATTAACAATAATTTATCATTCAAAATTTATTTACTTTAATTATAAAGCATAAAATGTTTTATTGTATGTATGAACTATAATACATATATGTGATATCATAATTAATTAATATGGACTTCCGTAAACGAGCTTTATTCTAATTAATTTAAATTAAATTCTAATATAAATTAGAATTATATAACAACTATAAATATAAATTATTAGAATTTAAAATTATTAATATTTATATTTATATTAAATTCTAATAATTTATATATTAGTGTACATTTATAAATTCTGGTAATTATGACAGTGGACTCTAAATTATTTTTTACATATTTTATTTTACAAATTTTTATATTACAAAATAATTTTTTTTTTATTTATATTCATATTATATTACAATAATTTATAGCATAAAATTGATTTTGATATTTATTTTATATTAACAATTATTTAAATGATAAAAATAATTTTTACTTTTATTGTTTTAAAAATTATTTAATATATATTAATATTAACTATAATATATATTATTAATATATATTAACAATAATATATAATATTATTATAATAAAATACTAATATATATATTATTATAATTATTATTATTATTATTATTATTATTATTATTATTATATATATTAATTTTTCGAAATAATGAAAATAAAAATTATTTTTATTTATATTATTAAATATTAAATATGAAAAATAATATTTAATAATTAATAATTTTTTAATTTATCATTTTAAAAATTATTTTTAAAATAATATTTAATTCAATTATTTTATAACACAATTTCATCTTAACACAAAGTTGATTGATTTCCATTATTTTTTAAATTATATTTCCACTGCCATAATTATCGATACATATACATACAACTAATATTAGAAAAAAGATAAGATCGTTTGAAAGATGATTTCTGTAAAAAAAAAATAATAAAAAAAAAAGCAAGAGATAAAAAGTGTAAAAATAGTATGGCAACGATCGATAAAAATGGGGAAAAAAAGGGCAGCCAAAAATCAACGAACGTTACCGCGATCTTTCTCTCTTTCTCTCCAACATATATATCAACGTTCACGAAAATGACAATGACAAAATAATAACAATAATAAATCAATCTATTGAAAATATATAATACCAAAAAATTGAGATCTCAAAATGATCATAAATCTAACACGACGTTGCTTATTGGATGATACCTCGACATAAACTGACTGTCCGTTTTCACTGTCTCTTCTCATGGAAGGCGTATACTAAAGTGAGCATATTTGCGATAAACAAAGCACCAACGACGACCTCGAGACGCGGGATCAGGAAGAGGACAAAAAAAAAAAGGGAAGAAGAGAGAACGAACACAGATCGAGGGAGTCAAACGGGTGACTGAAAGATGGTCGGGGTGAGGGGGGTGTAGGAAGACGGATAAGTGCGTGAACGAACACATACATACATATATAAATATATATATACACATATTGACATGTGTACATACGAATATATCTATAAGTGTATGTATGTGTATACATATGTTATATGTATCTGTATACATTTATATGTGTACATACATTCATTTCTATAACCAATAAACCCATGTTTCTAAAATAGCAAAAACCATATTACATGAACTTATATAAAATAAAATATATAAATAAATAAATAAATAGCAAAAACTATAAAAACTTATATTTTATATTGGGTTGGCAAGAAAGTAATTTCGGTTTTCTTTCTTATCAACCCAATAATATTATATATATACATTTACTTACTACCGAAATTACTTTCTTGCCAACCCAATATAAAATATATAAATAAAAATAACAAAAACCATATGAACATATTATTACAACCTAGTGTTATATGTGTGTATGTGTACGCACGCACATATGTGCGTGAAGAAGAGAAATAAATGAGGATTTATATATATATGTACTACTACATATAATATATAACAGAACCGAATGTCGTCGTCTGGTATTATGGGGGGTCCAGACCCTTCGTAACAGTCGACAGTTTCGTATGTGATCTTTTTTACATATATATATATATATATATATATATACATTATGTAGTATAAATGTAAAAGAGTTCGCCCACGATATGGCGAACACAGTCCGTTACTCGGTTACTCGAGCGACTCGAAGTGATGCGACCAATCTCTTGTGTTACATGACATATTCATGTATGTGTATATGTATGTAGGAGATGTAAGTGATAGTATATATATATATGTGAATCATCTCGTGTAACATATACGGAGAAACTTTACGCTTCCTCCCTTACCCTTCGACATGGACGCCGATTGGGTTGCCTACCCTCTAGGAGATTTAAATTTCCAACTGTTTTTGTATATATGTGTGTGTATGTGTATGCGCGCTCGCGTGTACATCTAATTTTTCGCCTGTTCAAAGTTTTTTGCTCAATTTGATTAAAATGAACATTTGGAAATTTAATATATTGATTTTTGTCAAATAAATTGATGTGAATAGAATATGAGAAGAAAAAAAGAAATACATACTGTAAAAAAAAATACAGATCTGGTGAGATAAAATACATGAAATAGGAGTGGAGAATGTGTCGGTTAATTTTAATCGTTTCAAATTAATACGTCAAAGGAATTTGACCGTTAGTTTCTAGGAAATTTAAGAATGAACATTGTGTGCACCCTTCATTATGATGACTCGTACTATTTGTGTGAAAAGAGGATGTAAGGCCCAGGAAAATTTATTAGTAGTATATTTAATGTTAACCTTAATTAACGTAATAATATTTAATGACTAAATGTACTTTCAAAATAATAATTGAATAGATCATTTCTAGAAAGGGCATATATTAAAAATGTTTAATGTTTTTGGATTCATATGATACAATTTATGAATTCCGAAAAATGCAAACAATTGTATACAAATGTTGCCTTTGTTTAATATTTAATCTGTTCATTAAACTGAAAAAAAAGTCAGAAATTTCTTTTTTATTAGTATGGAACAAATTATTAATTTTCACGCAAAATTTTATACATTGCAGTTAATAAAAAAATTTGTTACTATTGCATTATTATCTACTATTAAATATAAAAAAAAAATCATATGCAACAAATCGTAATTTTTTGACATTGCAGAATGAACAATGAATTGTTTTTATATTTTTCTATAAATTGAATAAAATGTAAACAATTCTATCAAGTATTGTGTATTGCACGGTTAATAAATTAGTGTCTATCATTATTAAATTATTTATATATATCTTCAAAGTGAAAGAAAAATTATATGCTACACACCCCCATTTTATTTCAATTACTACAGTGAACAAATGTGAACTATTTTTAAATTTTCAAAATCTAAATTTAATCAAATTTGCTTAATTATACTCAATTTTATTTATTGCATAATTATTAAAATATTTTCATATTATTAAATTATTATTTATTTTAAAAAATAGAAATAAAAAATCGTTACACTAACACCTCACTGATTTGTTTTTTTAAATTGCACAATGAATAATAAATTGTTTTTTTTGTTTCTTTTTAATTCCCTATAAATACAATAAATTTTATAACAAATAAACCCTTTCTTATGAAATTATATTTAAAAAAAACAAATAAACAAATAAAAAAAACAAAGAAAAAAGAATTTAAAGATAAAAAATATAAGATCCTCATTGAACTCTTAGGAAAGTTATGGTATCATCTCTCTCGTTGGTTCATAAAATGCTCATTGACCCGTCGAATTTAAATAGATCAAATTTCATGTATATAATATATCTATGTATATATATATATATATACACAAAACTGAATCTCGCGTATACGGTGACATAGGGTCTATCGCTGTCCGTATGTTCCCTCAAAAAGTGAAATTAAAGAAGACGATGAAAGTTACGTAACAATGACCCACGTAGTAACAAATATTATGATTATCTTATTATACGCAATAAAACAGTTAAACAAAAATAATCTATTAATTAATTTATAATCTTAATCCATAATTATATTACTTACACATACACACACACATAAATATACGAATATATTTGTACATTTAATTATTTATATATAAATAAACAAAATTGAATATAGTTACCAAAATTGTATAAAGTTTATATTTATAAAATGTATAGAAGAAAAAGAAATTATATATATATATATATATATATATATATATATATATATATTTGTTAACGTTCCTGTACTAATACACTAAGAGAAAATTATGATAATTATCTTTAAGATCTGATAATAATAATAATACGCTAATATAAATCTCTNATATATATATATATATATATTACATACATAGTACATTATATATACATATATAAATACATGTATGTATTTAGTCACAATTAATAGGAAAAAGAAAAAAAAATATTTATATATATATATAGAACTAAGAGCAACAAAAATTTGACAAGCAACCTGCCCTTTAAGTTTAGAAAGTTCACCATATTTACTAATACATCGCGTTATATATTAACCTTAAATAAAAAATAAGAGCTGTTATATATAATAAACATGAAACATTTGTTTTCAAGGGTTATGTTTAAAGATATTAATCTAATTGATGTGTTAACTTCTGCAAATATTTGTTAAAGAATAGACGATTTATTAAACATGTATCTATCATTTGGAACATGTGATTGTAAAGAAAAAATATAATAATTATTATAATAATAATTATGATGCTTACCTCGACGAGATGGTATCACGACGTGAGAATCTTGTTTGACAAGCAAAATTAAGGGCGTATACATGACAAATAGAGAACTATCATTCGATATTATTAGGTTGGAAGCAAGTTCCAATATGATGATTAATTGTTAGCCTTCCATAATACTAACGTTTGAAATTAATCGTTTATCTGTAGGAGGATACTAGCAACGGCATTGTATGCGCGCGCCAAAACTGTTGCGCCATCTGTCTATAGATAATGTGAAACCAATCGGAAATACAAAATTGATTTATTGAACTCTAATCATCTTTTAAAATATTCTTTTTTATGCATTTAAAACATAAAAATGTATTTAAAAAATAACGAATTATTATTAATTATATGTAAAAAAAGTTTTTTTTATCTTTTACTTGATATTATTACGCATATTAGATATACGGATAATTTGAAAAATTCACGTCTTTTTTTGAACATATACACATTTATATTAAGTTGGATTTATTTGGATGAGCATTAATTATTATTTTTATTTGCTTTACCAATTTATTTATTTTGTTTAATTTATTATTTATTGTTTTATCTTTTTTTTCCACGTATTGGTCTATTATATTTTACTCCTTGTAATGCTGAAAGGCAAGTAATAAATCACTATTAGTTCATAAATTTGAATTAAATTATAAGACAATTTAAAAATGAAAGATAAAATATCTAAATTCTTGTTATCTCAATAACATCTACATAATTAGAATTATGCAGATGTTAATTTTTTGTAAATGAATTTCTAGAAAAAAAAAAAAATTAAATAGAAGAAAATTAATATTATTTAGATATTAGTAATTAGATATTACAAAGGAAAGAAAAATTATGAATAGTACAATATCTCAAAACGAAATTTCGATAATTTATTTATTCGTGTAAAAAAATTTGTGTGCTTTCACTTTGTTCACAAATCTCTTGTTAAAAATCGTTGATGTAACAACATATGCGTCGATTATAAATATAATAAAATATTCCTAACGTGTCCTGTACAACCAGGAATAGTAACAATATATCATAAATTTATAAATATAACGATTACGACATTGTCGTGATATTTTCTCAATCTTAACATGAAAGGTATCGTTAATTTTAAAAGGCACGTACGAAGCTATTGCTAAAACACAGCTGCATGTAGTTACATGATTCTGAATATGATCATAAAATATATGTATAGTCATTTTTTGTTTGTTTGTTTATAAATCTTGCCTAAATTACAAAAGGAGTATTTTCAAAGGCGACGATAATAATTTTCTGGAGCATTTCAAATTTGCGTTTACGAAAAATAATAAATAAAAATTTATTAGTAAATTATTAGATTTTAATAATTAATATTGTCTATCAAGAAAAATTAATACTATGATTTATCATTTAAAAAAATATCTTTTTCAATTTACTTGCGCGTCTAGCACCGTCCAATTTTTCCTGAGTTTTATTTTTTCTGTTTTTTGTTTTTTTTTTTTCATTTTTTTCTTCCTACACTTTCACCGATTTCTTATCATAGAAAAAAAATACGATTTCATCCACGGACACATTAACCTATTAATATTTATAAGGCCTCTTTATGTTAATTTCCTTAAAATTTCTATATATAAATTATAGAAATTAGACGAACACAATTTTTCATATATATATATATATATATATATATGAAAATAATCTAGTTTTTATCTATATAAACATATATAGATATAAAATTTAAGAAAGTTTATATATATATTATTTCAAAGAAGAATTTGAATTTCGTTAAAATATTAAA